AGAGAGAAAACGAAAGAAAACGCAAGGAAGAAGACGAAAAAAAATACAGCCATGTGCCTTGCTGGGAGGGGGGAAGCACATGAGGTAGGACTGGAGGGCAAGTCCAGGGGCCGAAGCACAGATCTCCACCTCGCACACACATTCATCAGCCCTCCTGTGCTCCTGCCAGCACCGCAGCCAGCCTGCCCGCAGCCGAGGCGACGCCAGGGGACTCGGCAGAGACCACCTCCAGCAGGGCTACGCCAGTGGGGACCCATCCGCCGGACCCTAAGAGGGGCACCTGCCCCCTCCAGAGAGGGGACGTGGGACAGGGGGAGGGGGTGAGGAGGAAGGAACAGAAAGCTTCGTGAAAGCATCACGCAACCGCAGTGAGCACAGACAACCATTCCAGGCGATAGACGCGGGCGCACGCTGGCTGACAAGAGGCGACCTGAGTGGAGGGACTCTTCCCAGGAAAAAAGGGAACTGCTCTGACCTGACGCACCGCCCGGCACTGGGCCTGGGAGGGGGCAGCCGAGCTCCAGAAGCTCTGCTGCAGGGCTGGTGGTAATCCTGCTCCAGGTGAAGAGGGTCTGGCCTCAGCACCCCGCAGACACAGGGAGAGACCTGGTCTACGCAGCAGTGCCGTGTGGGAGAGGGCTGACTAGCCCAAAGGCTCTGCTCACCCACCCCACCTCCTGCCTGTGGTTCAGAGGGCTCCAGGAGACCTCACTGGATGTCTGCTAACATCCCCTCTGGCAGTCTCCCTTCTGAGTATGGAAGGGGAAAGAGGGAGGTCTCACCTAGTTATGACACCCAGGAGATAGCCAGCAAGCAGCTTTCAGATCTTCCCTCCTTTTCCTCCCTCCCCTCACCTTCCCCATGGATCTGCCAGACAGACAAGCAGATGGAGGAGCCAAAGCAGTGACTCCATTCTGAAAAATTCACCAGTTGCTCCTGACTCTTGGGCAGGAGCTGGGACAGGAAGGGGCTGGGACATGCAGGCCTGGACACTAACCGTGGATCCCTACAGGCCAGTGCCAGCACAGGGAGGCAGGGAGGGAGGGAGGCTGGAGCCTGCGCTGCTCCTTGAGCCACGTTAGCACAGGACTAGGAAGGGAGAGACATGCAAGGAGAAGACCCTAGGCAAAGCACCAGGGCTTGTCAGGCAAGCGAGCCCCAGCACTGTGGCAGTTCAGCAAAGGCTCCCTCATTCCCTGGCACAGCCCACCTCTGGAGGGAGCTGTCGAGGGGACGTGGGGGACAGAAGGGAAAGCACCATAGGTGTCTCTTAGGCCCTGTTCAAGTCGTCTCACTGGAACGAGTGTCAGAGCACCAGCTCTCGCTCCCAGCCTCTGCCCTACATGTCAGGAGTCACGGGGAGGCGGTGAGGGGAGGAAAATCGACCTGAAGGGAGGAGAGGGGCACCAATATAACAGTACTTTCAATCCAGCACAAATCAAAGCACACCAATCTCTCCCATCCCTTCCCTTCCGTCCCCCAGGAGTGCAGAACCAGCAAACCAGCAAAGAGCAGGCAAGGTGCTGTTAGAAGAGAAAAGGGAATGCAACGCAGTCCGGGCTGGCTGCTTCACCCACACCCCATCCTCACCATAGTTCACACAGACCCAACTCTCGCACACCTTCAAACCACAGAGCCACGCAGACCAACCATCCCCAACACGGCCCTGCACAGAGAGAAGTGTCGGCTGCACGCAGCCCGATGCAGCCAGGAGCAGATTTCCAGGGGAAGAAGGAGAGGCTGGAAGGCAGCTAGAAATATACAACCACCAGGAGAGGGGTGAAAGTAGTTCTCTCACTCTCCCACTTGCTCTCTCTCTCTCTGTTTCAGCCTCATCTCCCAGTATTCACTCCCTTCGTCTCCGACTCCGCACCTCTAAAGGGCAGAGTCACTATCCCAGCCATGCACAGTCCAGCTGACCCTCTCACCCAGAGAGGTCATTCTTTTTTTTCAATGTTGTTCCACATTTTGTGATGGTCCCTGCAACTACTGCAGGGCAAGAGCTTATTTCTCTACATTCCACAACCTTTTTACTTTGGGGAGGAAGGAAAGAGAAAGTCGTGCCTTAACCTCCTTCAGGTCACCAGAGCAAATCCATCAGATTGAAAAAAAATCTCATGAAAGCCTCCACCAAGACCCGGATAGGACATCCACTTCCCTTTTTACACCCTCCCAGGCCCCCACCCAACCAAAACCAGCATCACATCCTGCATGGCATCAGTCCTGCCTCCATCAGGCCTCTATTGCCACCTCTCCCTGTAGCCAGCTGAGTTCCTACCCAAGCTGCTGTGAAAGAAGCCAGCAAGTACTCACTCAAGCAGCAAGAAAAAAATTAATAATAAAGAAAGGCAGCAATTTGCAGTAACCAGAAACACCCCAGGAAGAGGGAAGGGAGAATGGGGGCTGCACCTTGAATCCATTCTGGTAGGACACACACGACGGGACTTCCCTGACTCGGGATAAAGCATTAGGAATGACTGCCATGGCTGTGGGTCATGCAAGCTCCAGGTGTGGGGTATGAAGGAAGGACCATCAGATCTGGGTTTCTGTGCCCACCTGGAACGGATTCAGAGTGTCGCCCCATGCACTACCATATGCCATTTCCAAAAACACCTTCTCAAAGTGAGTATCTCCAATCAAAGAAAAGGGCAAGGGGCAGTGGGGAAAGAAAACGCCAACCAACCACCAAAAGAGAAAGGAGGAAAGGCTCGTCACTTACTTTTCTTGTTTGTTTTTGACATCTTTCTTTGGTCTGTGGGGGAAGAGAGAACGAAGGTCTCATTAGAAGGGAGCTTGCCACATACACTTCGAGTATTATCCCCAGTTCCCGCCAAGTCCAGGGATGGACATGTACAGCTGGCATTGCAGGATGCCCATGGCACACGTTAAGTGGTCCTTCTCAAAGTGTTTGTCTCCTGTTGCACCTCGCTGGCAGCCAGTGCCAAAAGACCCCAGGCTGCAGGCTAACATTGTCCACCTGTGATATCTAGAGATGGAGGAGCCTCACCAGCAAAGGACTTCTTTTCCCAGCTCAGCCATCCCACTGCAAACCAACTGAGGAGACTGTAGAAGCCTCTGGACAACAGTTCCAACCCAATGGCAGAAAAAAAGGAAAGGCTCAGAATAAGTTTATTGCAAGAGGAACCAGTGCTGCTCCATTCTCACCTGCAGTCACATTTACTGTGCTGTAAGAAGCTCATGTGCGCTATGTGCTGACTCTGATGGGGTTTAATTCTCATGATCTGGAACAAAAGAAACAGAGAGGGTCACTGCCCATTCACTATTTATACTCACAGCTCCAAATCAGCCCTCTGCGTGGCAAAGCATTTGCACCCCAGGTGCTCCTGGGAAAAGCATGGCAGAGTTTGAGCTGGCTTTGAGGCCCCATTCTCCCAGTCAGGGAAGGCCTTTGATCACAAGCAAGTGGCAACACCAGGCTCGTGCCAAAGCTCTGTTTGCTCATGCATGCAAGGTGCCAGCACTGGTGGACTGCCTTGGAGACAGGCATGGGAGAGGGTGTAACACCGTGGCAAGGTTCCCACTGAGCCGTCCCTGGTTGATGCTGAAGAGAGATAACGGAGCATCCAGCCTGCCCTCACACAGAGGCATGTTTCAGTCTAATGCAAAGGCCCAAAGCAAAAGCTCCATATCCAACTCCTTTTCCCTAAGCCGTCGCTCCTTCCCAGATGACATCTCACTTTCTCCATGACTCGACACACAAAATAAGTCTGGTGCTCTGTGCTTAAAACTGCCCTGCAGAACCAGACATCGCCCATCCCCCAGCCCCAGGTGCCTCCAGGGAAGTTATACTGGAAGCTATGCATGTACTGTCACAGTCTCTCAATCCAGAACCTGACTGGACCACTAGCTCTAGCACTGGCACAAGAGATCTGCCCAAGTGCCTCTGACTTTTAGACATGCAAGCATACCAGCCAAAAACCATAATTCAGCAAGGAATGGTAGGAAGAAAACCAGCCTTAGCTACATCATGCTAGTAGGCTCTGGCCCAGGCTGGAGCCTGCAAGTGGAAAAGCAGTACGGGCAACCATGGAAGGGCACAGATTGGTTCTCCGCTGAAGTTCAAACACAGCTTAAATGACAGGTAAAAAGCTTGGTGGTAATCAGTCCTGTATGTCTCTCATCCATATCAAAAAGGGATGGCAATATTTACAGCGGTCATTCAAGAGGCTGAGAGACAAAAGTAGGTGAGGGATCTACAAGCTATGGGTAATGGGCACCAGCATCATTGTGGATACAAGCTGGGAACCAGGCTGGCAGACAAGGGCAGTGAGGAACCTCTCTAAAACCGAGTTTGTATCTTCCCAGTGTGCCCAGCTTTTGCTATCACAGCTATCTCTGTTTCTTCCAAGGAATGAATTCAGTAGCCTCCAAACAAAGGAGGAGGATGCCCAGAGGCAGAAAGGCTTCTCCACTTGACACTGAAGCAGTGTGTTTCTTAGAGCCCCTTTCCACCCCTGCTGTGCCAACGTAGCTAATGACCCAAATCCCCGGCTGTGTCGGTTAAAGCTGACCTCACGCACCCTGCCCTCCGGGAGAGAGTACTGACAGGCTTTCCCCTTTTGCACTACTCAGCTGCCTTCAGAGCAACAGCTGTGTGGACCAAACGCAGCGCTAAGGTGGAGCAAGGGCCTAAGGAGCATCTTCTTTGGGGCCTCAGAAATAACATCATCAGAAATGCTCCTTTGCATTCTCTAAGCACGAAGCGCTCCTTTCCAGGAATTCTCCTTTGCATGCTCCTAGCGACTGCATTTGGCACTACCAAGGTCAGTATTCTCTTAGCCTTAAACAGAGATGGGCAACTCATCTTTTAACCCTGCACAGTGCAACACTGGGCACAAGGGTCAGGAGAGAGGTGAGCCCTCCTGATCTGACAATCTCTGGTTCCCTGGAGTAGGCTGCCCATCCTCTGAAATAGTTGGGAGCTGGGATTTGGAGTGGCTATGACAGTTGACTTGCTTCCTCCACCCAAGCACGCCAGCTTGCAAGCTGGGCCCTCACCTCCATCGTGACGTTGTACACATCCACAGGGACACATTCTAGGCCCTCATCGCCGCAGCAACCCGCACATCTCATCAGAGGCACACAGGATGGCTTGAATATGTACTCCACCTCATCAGGGTACTCCTGGAAAATGTCCACCAGGGTCTCAATTGTCCTGCAGAAGCTGCGCTCGTAGACTTCCAGGAATTTGATAACTAAAAGGAGGAATGGAGGGAATAAGTTAATGCAAACTTAGCTCAAGAATGCCTAGTGCTTCGCCCCTTAAAAGAAGCCAAACAGTTGCAACACATCTACCCTGTGTTCTTCACTAACAGTCTTGCAAGCCTTAATCCTTTGTCTCTGCCCTACACACACACGCACACACACACAAATACGTGAGGAAAAGAAAGAGACAATCTCTTCCTACCGCTGCTTCAGGGCAGAGGCAAGATAGACAACACAGCCTCTCTATTTGATTCCCTGGCACCACGATGGATCCCACAGGTGCTTCCTCCCCAAACCCCTTCCCCACTATCCCCCGTACTCTTGGATATGCTGCCACCAAGCATATTAGTTCAGCCAAAAAGCACTTGAGGCTGCTGCAGATGATCTGCACTCTGGATTAAGGCCCTTCACCAGTTTGCCTTTTACCCCCTTTCAAAACAGCCAGTGGATGCCCCAATGGGTTTTAGAAGGCAAGGGGATAAGCCAGAAGCATCCTTTCTACAGACCTTGGTACAGAGACACTTCCGAGAATGAGCAGAGGGTTCTGAACCATGCATCCACATATCTTCACTCTTCCCATCAGCTACCTCTTGCCCATACAAAACATCCGCCTCAACAGGCCACCTCAGAACCACAACACAGTCACAGCCTCTATGTCTCCACACTGACCACCTTCCCAGACCAAGGAATCAAGCCACCCACTGAAAGATTCAAAGCAAGCCCACGGCACCCCCAGGACTGTATACTTGGCTACTGAACCACAAAGAGGCAGTGTGGGAGGGGGAACAGGGTGGATCTGCCATTATCCCCTGCCTTCCCTCCGAATGGAGCAAACACTAACTGCTTGCGATCTGCATGGATTTCACAAGTGTTTCTCAATGTTTCCCAGCCTCTTGCCAAAGCTTCGTTTTGCTGTTTGGTCAAGGGTTGGAAAGATTTAAAGAGATGAGAGATAGGATAGATAAGTACACACGCACAAAACCCAGCTGCCAGCACAGTTCTGCAAACACTGAGTACCTGGAGCCCTCCAAGCCTCCTAGCTCTACCAACATGCAGGCAAAGGAGAACGTCTCAAATGGAGCAGAGGATAAGAATACACACAAAGAGATAGTACCTGCCCCATGCTGTTATGCACTATAATGATCCACCTGTACAGTATGCAGAGTCCTACAGCACCAAGGTTGATAACTCTAAGTGATAAGCACAAACTGCTTGCATCATGGAAAAAAAATGGTCTCCAGTAAGTGTTTCTAAAGTGCCCTGAACTTGTGACAAACTGGCATAAAGGTTACTTTGCCACAAAAATGCAAAAGCTGCAGGGCTTGGAGCTCACAGCCCGCAGTTAATTGTTGAAAGTTAATTCTAGGTCATGCAGAGCTGACAGTGCCACAGTCCTGAGAGTGGGTACAAGAGGGGAGGAGCTTCCATCCAGGGAGTTTGAAGTGTCAGAGAGCGTGAGCAGCTATTAAAAGAGAAAGTGGCTTGTGAAAGGGAAATGTAGCCTGGCAGGCATGGACTGCTTGTTGGTATTCCTTGTCTAGAAGACAGCATGTTTCTGTTCCTTGTCCCTTCCCTTCCTCTTCCCTCCTTCCCCAACTGCAGTGTGCCTCCTGTCTGTTCTCCTATCTCATCTGCAGCTATCTCCTTCTTCCCATTTCCCTTCAGATTGACCCTAGTCACCGCCTATGTTCCAACAAGTTGAACAATTTAATTTGCAGGAAATTCTGCAGGCACAATGACAGACACTGAACTGCACTGTTGATTATTCACACTGTGCCAGCAGAAAGGACCTGGGAACTCTGGCGGTAAAGGCACAGCTCTGGATAAAAACATTAAGGGTAGGAGGGAGGGAAGAAAAGAGGGAGGGAAAGTGGCAGTTACCTGTGCAGATCAAATGCTGCTCACCACAGCAATCTGGGGCATAAAGAGGCAGAAACCAAAACAGAGCAGAAAATTGAATTGAAACTGACTTACATCTGCTACGCTTTCTAAATGTTTGCACTGCACAAGCAGCTGGATTACAGCAGAGAATCTGGACTACAGATTGGCCACAGAACAGCACATTCAATTTATTTTGCAGAGCCTTTACTTTCGTGGCTGCACCCTGATGACTATACTTAAGATCTGGGAGGATCTGAGACAGGACCAAATCCTTCCCATAAAGAATCCGGGAGTTTTTGCCTTTACTTTAACATATGATGATTTTCCAAAGTCTGAATCAGCCTCTGAAAAAGAAAAGGGGAATCCTTCTCCAGCTGCCAGTCAGAACAACCGCCACGAAAGGCACGTTGCCTTAATTTTGCTGGACACAGAACATTCACACAGAGACGGTTCAACGCTCCATAGTCCATTTGCACAGTTAGCACCCAAACCGGAGCGCATGACTGAGGTACAGTCATCCTCACAGCAAAGCCCTGCCCCTGCTACCATACGTACACTTACTCCTATGTACCAGGAGTCATATTCCACACTTTGCTGGGCTGATTCAGTCTGTGCTTCCTTTCCATTGGTTGTGTCAGGGACGGAAGAAGGTCTGTCTTTCATGGGGAAACATAGGAAGGTCACTGAAGGACTAACACCACTTGGCCTGCTCCCTTCCTGCAATTTGGGCTTCAGCCCACGTTAAAAGTTAATCTTACATTTAACCTACACCCCTACTCTGCAAAACACCTCCAGATTTGAGTCAGAGGTTCTTCTTTATGAATGGAGGTGGAAGTAAGGTTAAAATTCAGTCGGGGCCCACATTAACTCTTCAGGGCAGATATAGTCACAGCAGGCAGGATTAAGTCCAAATTTGGAGCAGTCAAGTGGGAACACGCTAGACTAGAAAACAAGCAAGTCTATGATCATTTTGACTCCCTCTCCGTCAATGGCTTAGCAGCAATACAGACACACTGTTCTTTTAAAAATAAAAGTGCGGCCACAAGTGCCGGTGGTTTCCTTTATTTATACCAGAAAATCTTTTCTCGTGGAACAAACAAAGAGTGTTTGTCTGACTCCTCTACAACTTCCCATGCCACAAAACATGTGGAAAGCTCTCTTGAGCACAAAAGGGTAGGGGCTGAAGCTAAAATTACAGTCTCCAACCAGAGTAAGTCCATTCTAACTAAAAACCTGTCACAGCTCAACGTCTCAGAGCAAGCACAAAACAGCCAAAGACACAAAATCACCTTTCACCCCAACCCCAAAGACCCCAAGAGCTTCACTGGAAGGAACTGCAGGACTGTTCTTGTGGAACAGAGGCACATCATCTTCTCCTCTTCACAGAGGAGAAACTGAGGAACTGAGAGAGGACCTTCAAGGTCATACAGGACAGAAGTAGAGCCAGAAAGTTAATGCCAAGAGTCCTGATTTCTAGCTCACAATATATCCGCATCACAGAACCAGAAATAGCACCAAGGCAATAGCACTGAAGTCTCACCACTCACATTGCCAGACCAACTTCTCCCGCAATCCCATCAGCCTTCTTGTGACAGGGAATTAAATTCTGTTTGATAATTTCCCTCCCCAGGAAGGTAGTCGGACACAACAAATGGCACAGATGAAGACACTAGCTCTTTTCTAGCAACAGCAGAAGACTGGTTACCAAAATAAGCCTCACAGCAGGCTCTATCTTGATCCCTGGGGAGTCACTGAACCTTCTTCTGTTGACTTCAGCTCAAGCGCAACAGGAGGCAGCCCACCAGCAAATCAGAAATTTTGCCCATGGAAAATGGACCCCTATCCCAAACACAGCCTGTCACAAACCTCCGGCAACACGCATGCAGTCTGTCACACCAATAAAGTTAAAGAAATTGAAATCAAGTGCGACAAAAAAAGTGCCAATCTGGGCCCACACTGCTAGGGCCCTCTGCTGACCTCCAGCTGGAATAACGTTGGAGGTCACAACCCGTGGGGACCCTGCAAGACCTTCACCGGAACCTGCCATGCAGGGAGTCTGTCTGCTCTGCTATGAAGGTATGGGGAAACCAGTCAGGATGGCCTTAAAGCAGTCGATGATCACCTCAGCCTGAAGGTTCCGAAGCCCACAGCCCTTCTACCCCACTTCTGAACTGAGGACTGCAGACAGAAAGCCAACATCCTGCAACGCACAGGGCTCCACCAGACAGGGCTCTGGCAGGAGGCATCTCTGACTGACCTGGGGGATGACTGCTCTTCTGGTCTACGTTTACTTGCACAAATCAACGAGGAAGAGGACATTGCCACAGCCTGGCCTTTGGGTAGCCGGGGAGACACAAAATCACAGCGGCTGCAGAGGCACCACCTGGTTTCCTCATCAAACAATGCTCTTGTCCGTACTGGACCACCAGCAACAAATTCAGTAGAACCTACGGGATCACAGTGCTGTCGCCTAAATATGCTAAGCCTGCTAGCTCAAACCGGAGCAAAAGGGTGTATGTTTCAAGGCTGGGTCTGTACAACGCTTAGCAATATCCTGACTAGGGGAGTACCCAGGACTGTCAGGAGGCACGGCTCTGGAAAATCACCCAGGGCTGCCCGTTTTTCCTTCCACCGCCGAGACTTGCCGCCTGGGCGTCTGGGGAAAGCCGGGGCACTGCTTCGGCCATTGTTCGGGGATCAGCCCTGGCCACCCAGCCGGGCACGGCCAGCACCGCTGGGGAAGAGGCGGGCAGCGAAGACGACAAATCCCTTCCTACGGCACTGTGGCGAATTCCCAGCAAACTGCTCGCCGCTGCTCAGCTCTTTGTGCGCGCGCGCGCGTGCTGGGGGCTCTGTGTGTGTGTGTG